ACTCTGGGGTCTGTCAGGAAGTGAGGATGTGAAGGGAGAGTGGGTGGCTACCAGGGCCTGCCTTTCCCCAGAACTGCCTGGAGCCCTGACAGAGGTGCTTCAGTAATGCCCGTTGAGTGACAAGTGTCTCTGCAGCTCACAGAAGGCCCCCAGCCCATTTCCCCCATGGCTTCTGAAAGACAGTGGCCCAGAGGTGCGGCAGGCAGGAGTGAATGTGGGAGTCGCAGGCCGGAAAGCACAGGGCAGGGAGGTTGGGCCTTTGCCATGCTTTTCCAGCACTGGTTCCCAAGCTGTGATTTGGAGCTGAGAAGTCTCTGACTTCTGACAGTTGCTAGCCTCTCTTGAATGGACAGAGAACAGCCTCGGGTTCAGAGGCAGACAGAAAACAAGATCTAGCTACAACTGACTAACTGTGTTTTATTGTTGCTTTATGTATTTGTAAGGTGTTAAAAGGAAAAACTTTAGACAAATTTAACAGAGTTTACTTGAGTAAAGAACAAGTCATGAATTGGGCAGCTGTCAGGGCCAGCAGAGGTTTGGGGAGCTCAGCCTGCTATTTGTTACAAACATATGCTTCTAAATTGGGGTTTGATTTCTTCACATACTAAGTTCGGCTTCAGATCATCACTCAAAGTACAGAGACAGCCTCAGGCTAATGGCCTCTTGCTTCTTTTTTTTTTTTGAGACGGAGTCTTGCTCTGTCCCCCAAGCTGGAGTGCAGTGGTGCGATCTCGGCTCACTGCAAGCTCTGCCTCCCGGGTTCACGCCATTATCCTGCCTCAGCCTCCTGAGTAGCTGGGACTACAGGTACCCGCCACCATGCCTGGCTAATATTTTGTATTTTTAGTAGAGACAGGGTTTCACCGTGGTCTCGATCTCTTGACCTTGTGATCCGCCTGCCTCGGCCTCCCAAAGTGCTGGGATTACAGGTGTGAGCCACCGCGCCCAGCCATTTTTTTTTTTATTAAATGGAGTCTTGCTCAGTCACCCAGGCTGGAGTGCAGTGGTGTGATCTTGGCTCATTACAAGCTCTGCCTCCCGGGTCACGCCATTCTCCTGCCTCAGCCTCCTGAGTAACTGGGACTACAGGTACCCGCCACCCCGCCTGGCTAATTTTTTTTGTATTTTTAGTAGAGATGGGGTTTCACCATGTTAGCCAGTATGGTCTCGATCTCCTGACCTCATGATCCACCCACCTTGGCCTCCCAAAGTGCTAGGATTACAGGCGTGAGCCACCACGCCTGGCTGCCTCTTGCTTCTTAAATTTAACGATGGTTACTATTTATGGCAAGAGATGCTGGGTTTTCATTATTGGTTATAATATTTACTACGAAATAAAATATGTATTAGTAAATAAAAGGACAAATGATCAAAAATGTCTGCAGCTTAGGAATCTGCATTATCCTATCACGTAGGGTCCACCCCTCTCTGAGGTGCACAGAGGGCTTAGCCCCATTCCACAGGACAAAGCTGATAGGAACTGGGAACGGTGGGACTCAACCCATGTCTTGTGGCTCCAGATCTAGTGCTCTTCCTTCTCTGGCCTTTCTGGAACAATCCAAGAGCAGGTGAATAGGGGATAGGAGGAAACTGGATGCTTACCCAGGCTCTGGTCTTGTCCCTGGCCTCGCCTTTCCTTGCTCTTCCTCCCCTAAATCTCATTCATTCATTTGACAAACCTTCACTGGGCCACTCTGTCCCTGTGCTAACTGTCCTCAAGGAAATCCCAGTCTGGTGAGAGAGAAACACCATAACACACCACACGAGGGCTCTGGGAGCCACACCTCTGAGAGGTGTCTTATTCGTATTTATTTGTTCTGCTGTAACAGAATACCACAGACTGGGTAATTTATAAAGAAAAGAAATCGGGCTGAGTCTGGTGGCTCACACCTGTAATCCCAGCGCTTTGGAAAGCCGAGTCAGGCAGATCACTTGAGGAGAGGAGTTCAAGACCCTCCTGGCCAACATGGTAAAACCCGTTCTCTACTAAAAATACAAAATTAGCCGGGCATGGTTGCACACACCTGTAGTCCCAGCTACTTGGGAGGCTGAGGCAGGAGAACCACTTGAACCTAAGAGGCAGAGGTTGTAGTGAGCCAAGATTGCACCACTGCACTCCAGCCTGGATGACACAGCAAGACTCCATCACAAACAAACAAAAAACAGAAATTTAGCTAAGTGTTCTAGAGGCTGGGAAGTAAACGGCATGTCACATCTGGCCATAGGCTTCTTGCTGCATCATTCCAGGGAAGAAGGTGGAAGAGCAAAAGAGGGAGAGAGGGAGACAAATGCATTCCTGTATCTGGAGCCCACTCCTGCAGTAATGGTGTGGATCCACTCGTGAGGGCAGAGCTCTCATGGCCTGATCACCTCTTCAAGGCCCCACCTCTCTACACTGTTGCATTGGGGATTAAGTTTCCAACACGTGAACTTTGGGGGGACACATTCAAACCATAGCAGAGGGAGAGGTGAGTTCTGAGAAAGTGACATTTTTGTTGGGGTGGGAGAATGAAGAACCAGGAGGATTTTCTGGGCTCTACTTGCTGGAGCTGGGGTGTGTACCTTTCAGGCAGAGGAATCTGTGTGGGTCCAGAATGTGGTCGTTTGACAAGTTTATTTGCATAAAAACACTTAAGACAGCACCTAGCACACTATAAGCTCCATAGAGGCATTGGCTATGGTTATTATCATGTGCAAAGACCTCAAGGGTGAGGCACAGGAAGTTCAATGGGTCTGGCTGTGCTGCCCATGGGTCATTGCCAGCAATGATACTGGAGGGCTGGGCTGGGTCAGATCTTGGAGGCCTCTCAATGCTGTGCTAAGAACACGTTTATTTGTTTGTTTGTTTGTTTTTTAAGACAGGGTCTCACTCTGTCATGTTGGAGTGCAATGGTGTGATCTTGGTTCACTGCCACCTCTGCCTCCCAGGCCCAAGTGATCCTCCCACCTCAGCCTCCAGAGTAGCTGGGACCACATGCATGTGGCCACCACACCTGGCTAATTTTTGTATTTTTGGTAGAGATGGGGTTTTGCAATATTGCCCAGGCTGGTCTCGAACTCCTGAGCTCAAGTGATTCACCTGACTCCCAAAATGCTGGGATTACAGGTATGAGCCACTGCGCCCAGCCTGAAACTCAAGTTACTTCTGTTGTCCATATGGAGCCACAGAGGCATTTTAAAAGCTGACCTTTGATCCCTTCAGCAGCCAGAGTGGAGTGGGGACTGGAGGGGTGGAACTGAGGTGGGAAGCGGGGCAAGGGGACATCTTTCCATCCCTAGGGCCCACCTGAACAAAATATGTTCTTCCAAACGAATTTTGCATTGTAACTTCAGAAACTCTTTGTGGTGGGCTGGGATATTTGGGATCTGGACCTCTCTGGGAAGCCACAGTAGGCTCCGGGGCTAGGTGTGTCAGAGCTGTGTTCAAGGAAATGGCCATGACGACACATGGTCGTGGGCTGCTGCTGGATCCAGAGAGTAAAGACAGACAGCATGTTGCAGGGGCAGGGGGTAGCTTGGTGACTTTAGAGCTGGGGGTCAGGATGCTGGACCTGCAAGTCAGGAGCAGGAGCTCCCAGCCACTGAGTGTGACAGACAGGATGGGGCCATAGCATTCGGGCCACCCAGCGAGGCCACCAGCAACTCTGTCCTCAGTCAGCTGAGCCAAGAAACACCAAAGGCAGTGCCACTGTCTCCCAGAGCCAACTCCAGGGAGCAGATTCTTTTTATTATTATTATTATTACTATTAGAATTTGTATAGCATTATTTTTGTTTTGATCTTTTTTTAACTTTTTAGAATTAGGGGTGCATGTACAGGTTTGTTATATAGGTAAACTCATGTCACTAGGGGTTTGTTGTGCAGATTATTTCATCACCCAGGTATTATGCCTAGTACCCAATGGTTATTTTTTTTCTGCTCCTCTCCCTCCTCACACCCTCTACTCTCCAGTATGCCCCAGACACTGGGGTTCTCTTCTTTGTGTCCATGTGTTCTCTTCATTCAGCTCCCACTAATAAGGGAGAATGTGTGGCATTTGGTTCCTGTGTTAGTCTGTTAAGGATAATAGATTCCAGCTCCATTCGTGTTCCCACAAAACACATGATCTTGTTGTTTTTTATGGCTACATAGTATAGGGTATACACACCATATTTTCTTATCCACTCTGTCATTGATGGGCACTGGGTTGACTCCATGTCTTTGCTGTTGTGGATAGTGCTGTAATGAACATTTGCATGCACGTGTCTTCATGGTAGAATGATCTGTATTCCTCTGGGAATATGCCCAGGAATGGGATTGCTATTGGCTCTTTGAGGAGTTGCCACACTGCTTCCCACAATGGTTGGACTAATTTACAGTCCCACCAACAGTGCATAAGCAGAGAGCACATCCTCACATGAAACCCACGCTAAACCCCTGGGCCCTGTGGTCCAGTCTCAGGGCCAAAGGCTGTCAGGTTTCTAGAACCAGAAAATTCTAACAAAACTTTTCACAAACCCGGACACCCACTAATGAAGTGACAGATTTGAAGTCAGTCCACCAAGCAACATTTTGTGAACATGTTTTATCAGATTGCAGCATTTATTTATTTATTTATTTATTTATGAGATGGAGTCTTGCTCTGTTGCCCAGGCTGGAGTACAATGGTGTCATCTCGGCTCACTGTAACCTCTGCCTCCCAGGCTCAAGTGATTCTCCTGCCTCAGCTTCCCAAGTAGCTGGATTACAGGCATGCGCCACCACACCTGGCTAATTTTGTATTTTTAGTAGAGATGGGGTTTCACCATGTTGGTCAGGCTGGTCTCGAACTCCTGACCTCAGGTGATCTATCCACCTTGGCCTCCCAAAGTGCTGGGATTACAGCGTGAGCCAAGATTGCCCCATTTTAAATCGCCCTTTTGCAGGTCAAAAGTGGTAAAAATCACTATTCCATATGGTTCAACCCCCACTGGCTTCCATCATCTATAAGATAAATAAAGGTGTGATTTTTTAAGGTCTGTGTCTGGTGCCAGCGGGTAAAATGCAGCGTGGACAAGGGAATGAGGTCAAGGTCTGGAGGTGGCAGAGTCAGGTTCAAATCCCCACTCACCCCAACCACCTGGTAACCTAACCACTTCCTCCTCTGAAAGATATCAACCAGGGGGTGAGCGTTACTCCAACAGCACACACAGCCCCAGCTAGAGGAGGGGTGCCCTGCCAGGCCACTCAGCCCTCTCTGCCTCCTTTCTCTGCCCATTCCTGTCTGCTCTGGGTCCTCTTCTCTAGCTGTGCTGTACTCTTTTCTGTCCCCAAACATACCCGCTGCCTATCTTCCTCCACCTAGTACTAATTCTGCTCAACCCCAGGTCTTGCTTCCTGCAGGATACCTCCCCTGCTCTCTCCGGACTCAACGCCCCGCTTGTCTGTGGAGGGAGTGGCCTAAGGCCAGTGGACACGCCCTGGAGGGAGGGCTGTGTCTGCATCCCCTGCCTGACCTCCTGGTGCTCCACCCAGAGGAGCAGCCCACGGAGGGTGGGGACTTGCAGTTCTTCTCCCCTCCTGCCCCTCTACCTCTCCTGCCAACCTGCACAGACCTGGACATAGGAGGTGCCACACAATACAACAGCACTTTGCCAAGCACCCTCCCTGTGGCACCCTTGGGCTGGGCACTGGGGTGGAACTGAGTGGTTGGCCAGATGCTGAGTAGCTGTGCATGACCTCCAGGTGGCCAAACCCAGTGGCCACTCTTTGGGCGGTCAAGTGGGTGATGGCACACTTCACCGAGGGAGGAAGGAGCAGATGGAGGAAGACCAGGACAAGTCCAGGTGGCATGAGAAGCTGTGAGAAGCCTGTGGGACACCCAAATAGAGGTGCCACAGTTAAGTTGGGGCGCTTGTCAGGAACTGGATCTGAGCCCGAGGTTCAGGAGAGAGGCCAGAAGTGGAGATAAGAAGTTGGAAGTCATGGGCATGCAAAGCCATGGCGCTGGCTGAGACCCCTCCTAGAGTGAGTGCACACTGAGGAGAGAAGAGGTCCTCAGAGGGCGTCCCAGGACTCACCGGCATTAGGGGTCGGGATGGAGAGGAGAAATTGGCAAAAAGGCAAGGAGTGCCAGGGAGGCAGGAGGAATCCCAGAGGAGAGCAGTCTCCTGGAAGCCATGGGAAGATTGTGTAAGCGAGGAAGGAATCTGGTGTCCAATCCTTTGTTCTTAGGCCAAGTCAAATGGGTGCTGAGAACTGGCCACTGGGCTTGGCAGCCTAGCGCTGTGGGTGATGTGATGGGGACCAAGACATGATTGGGGCAGCGTGTGCAGTAGGCACAGTGCTTTCAAGTTTTCTGTCAAGTAGGGCAGAGTAAGGGTGGTAGCTGGGAAAGTCATATGGTCAGAGGGTGTTTTGTGTATTTGCTTGTTTGAAGGTGGAGCTATTATAGCATCTGAGTGTGATGGGGGATGGCTGATCCTGCTGAATAATCCAGCAGAGAGAGGGGCAATGGGAGAAGCAGTTGAATACCGTTCACTAGACAACAGTAGCACGCCTCAGGGCTCCCTGAGGAAGCACTTGTTCCATTTCTCTGCAGCCACATTTTACTTCTTGGAAAATTCCAGAGTGTCCTCATCTGTCCTGCTCTCCAGATGGCTCTGTTCTCTTCCCAGCTTCACTGCCTGTGACCTGGAGTCACCCACTGATGACGGCAGCTGGGCCGGGTCATTCCAGAGTGTGCCTTCCAAGCTTCCCTTGTGCCTGGCATGCGGGCCTGTGGCCGTCTGCCTGAGTGCAGACCCCGCCTCTCGCACGGTGCGGCTTCCTCCTCTTCTTCCTCCACAGCTTCCTCCAGCTCTTGGTGCTTTGGTTTCCTCCTCTGTAAATGGAGATGATGACCTTACCTATGTCACAGTTTTGTGAGGAAGATGTTTGAAGTATTCAGAGTGGCTTTCAGAACACTGAACGGTTTCGTTGGTATTGTCGTTGCTGTCCGTGCAGGAAGCTGTGCCTGGAGCAGGCTTTCTAAGACACATGCAAGTGCTAGGAGGTGGAGTGTGGGGATCCAGTCCACCCCAGGCAGCCTGTGTCAGGAAATGTTTAAACAGGCCCCTTGGTAAGAGCTGTCCCTCTATCTCATTTTGCTTGTTAAAACCCTTAAATGATTTAGGGAATAGAAGAAGCAGCAGCATCTCATAGTGGGATTTCGGTATTAATGTCTAATTCAACCTCCAACTGTATTCACAATTCCAGCCGCTGAAGTCCCTTACCTGCTGACATACCTCCTCTGCCAAGAAGCTCACTGCCTTCCACAGCACAGCACATCATCATCATTCTTCATCAGCAGTTCCTGCGAGAAAGTTGTTCCTCCCAGTGAGCTAAAATCACCTCCCTTTGATACCCCAACTCCCATCTTTGCTGTCTCACCCCAGTTAAACACCTCCCTATGGGGCCATATAACCAGGTACTTGCCTCTATCCTTGTGTCTTGGAGACAGTGACCTTATTCCCTTGTGTATTTTCTTCTCCAGGCTGGAGCCCGTGGAGTAGGGAGATACAGGCACCTCCCCAGTGAGATCTCAGCTATTATGACCTAAGCTGTAGTCACGCGGTCTCACATTGAAGCAAGAATCCCCACCCGGGGGTTTTCACATTGGTTGCTGCTAAGCAACATGCCCGTTCTCGGCTTGCACTGGGGGACGCTGAATGCAGGATTTTATGAATCAGAGTCATGGGCTCAAAAAACACGAAATTTCAGGGTTAGCCCTGGCTTTAGGCAAAGCCTGACCCAGCAGCTCAGCTGATGTTACTAAGGGCCCTGTTTCTTTTGCCGTCATCTTTGGGCTCTATCTGCAGCTCCCAGAATCTCTGGACGGTCCCCTCAGAGTCACAACTTCCCGCCTCGTCGGTCATCATACTCCGAGCCCTCCTCAGGCAGGCAGAGAAGGGGGTCTGCAGGAGAGGAAGCCGCTGAGGCCCGGAAACGCCTGCAGACGCTCCTTGTGTTTCATTGGCTCCCCGTGCAGCCCTGGGCCACTCACGGTGGCCAGGGTAGGGTTATGCTGATAAGCACGGGGAGGCCCCGCGGGCGGGGGCGGTGCTCGCAGCCGAGGTGCCGGCGAGGAGCTGGCCACCGGGAGGCGCTGGAGGGCGGCCCCGGCGCCCGTGGGCTAGCGGGCCCTCCAAGTGCCGAGTCCACCTGACGGAGCCCCGACCGGGAGCCCGCGCCCCTCACCTGCCCGGACTCTCCGCGGGGCCTCACCCCGGTCACGCGGATCAGCCGCGGGAGGCTCCCTGCCTGCCCCTCCTGGGTGCTGCAGGGCTTCCACCTGCACAGTGAGAGGCCCAGCAAGGGGCCATGGCTCCGAACAGCACCTCCCGAGAAGAGGTCTTTGTGTTCCAATAATATTTAGTCGTGGGAAGTCCACTCAGCGAGTCCATATAAAATGGGGACTCTTGGGTCGGGCGCAGTGGTCCACGCCTGTAATCTCAGCACTTTCTGAGGCCGAGGCGGACAGATCACCTGAGGTCAGGAGTTCCAACATGGAAACCTCGACTCTACTAAAAATACAAAAATTAGCCTGGCATGGTGGCGGGCGCCTGTTGTCTCAGCTACTTGGGAGGCTGAGACATGACAATCGCTTGAACCCAGGAGGTGCAAGTTGCAGGGAGCCGAGATCATGCCACTGCACTCCAGCCTGAGTGACAGAGCAAGACTCAGTCTCAATAAATAATACAAATAAAAATAAAATGGGGACTCTTTGGAGATTGAAAAATAAAGCTACAATGTATGAAAATGAGTTATCATACTATTTAATAAAACTAGGTAATATTTTCAGCCATTTCATTTTTTTTTTTTTTTTTTTTTTTTTTGAGATGGAGTCTCACCTTGTCACCCAGGCTGGAGTGCAGTGGTGCGATCTAGCTTACGGCAACCTGCGCCTCCTAGGTTCAAGCAATTCCCCTGCCACAGCCTCCTGAGTAGCAGGGATTACAGGCGCCCACCACAACAGCCGGCTAATTTTTGTGTTTTTAGTAGAGATGTGGTTTCACCATGTTGGCCAGGCTGGTCTCTAACTCCTGACCTCAAGTGATCCACCCGCCTCGGCCTCCCAAAGTGATGGGATTACAGGTGTGAACCACCGTGCCTAGTCTAGTCATTTCATTCTTTAAAAATAACCTCTATGACTGCAGTACAGTGCTCTCATTCTTAGACCAAACACAGAATGATTTAGGACTGATTATTCCTTTTGGAGTAATTTTTCCAATAACACTCTGTAAGAACACAATGGTGCACCCTTACCTTTATGGTTTTTGTTTTTTTTGTTTCTGGAGGTTTTCTTTTCGCAGCTTTATCATGAGGAGGGTCACTTTTGCAAAAATATCTCAGGCCTTTGTTGACTTTCTTTTTTTTTTTTTTTTTTCTTTTCTTTTGAGACAGAGTCTTGCTCTGTTGTGAGGCTGGAGTGTAATGGCATGATCTCAGCTCACTACAACCTCCACCTCCTGGGTTCAAGTGATTCTCCTGCCTCGGCCTCCCGAGTAGCTGGGATTACAGGCACGTACCTAATTTTTGTATTTTTACAAAATACACGCCCAGCTAATTTTTGTATTTTTAGTAGAGACGGGGTTTCACCATGTTGGCCAGGCTGGTCTCGATCTCTTGACCTCGTGATCCACCAGCCTCGGCCTCCCAAAGTGCTAGGATTACAGGCGTGAGCCACTGCGCCCAGCCTTGTTGGCTTTTCTAAAGGTTTTCTTCGTGCAGCAGAGCACTCTCCTGATGCTCCTGGCTGGTGCTCATCCTGCTGGTTTTCTCTTCCTTGGTTGTAATCCAGTCCAGCCCTGCCACAGCCCCGCACCAGTGGCTCTGCCTGCGATTCGAGTTCTCCCGTGTCACCCTGACCAGCACCACTCCGCCTCCCCTTTTCCAAGATGTGGTTTTGGTTCATATTGGGTTCTATCGGGTTGTTATGATGAGATGGGTGTGGGACACATGCTAGTATAAAGTGGCCAGTTTAATAAGTGGCCCTTTTATTAGTGAATATTTTCATGTTATGACAGATTTTTCTTTCTTCCCCTGTCTTGTAACTGCAGGGACATGGAAAAAATGAATATTCAAAAGGTCAGGCCCTTAAAATATCAAGAAAAGTGATTGGTGGGGTATAATGTAGGTTCCCCAAAGCCCAGAGAAGGGAGATGTTTCAATTAAAGGCTTTCGGGGACAAGGAATAGAAATGCAATTTAAACTAGTTGGGTGTGGTGACTCACATCCAAAATCCCAGTGCTTTTGGAGGCCAAGGCACTGGAGGATCTCTTAAGACCAGGAGTTTGAGAACAGCCTGGGCAACACAGTAAGATTCTGTCTCTTTTTTGTTTTTTGTTTTTGTTTATTTTGTTTTTGTTTTCCAAGACAGAGTCTGACTCTGTTGCCCAGGCTGGAGTGCAGTGGTGGATCTCAGCTCACTGCAACCTCCGCCTCCTGGGCTCCCAGGTTCAAGTGATTCTCCTGCCTCAGCCTCCCAAGTAGCTGGAATTACAGGCGTGTGCCACCACACCTGGCTAATTTTTATATTTTTAGTGGAGACAGGGTTTCACCATGTTGGCCAGGCTGGTCTAGAACTCCTGACCTCAGGTCATCCAACCACCTTGGCCTCCCAAAGTGCTAGGATTACAGGATTCTGTCTCTATTTAAAAAAAAAAAAAAAAAAAAAAGTAGGCTAGGTGCAGTGACTCATGGCTATAATCCCAACACTTCAGGAGGCCAAGGCAGGCAGATTGCCTGAGCTCAGGAATTCGAGACCAGCATAAGCAACATGGCGAAACCCTGTCTCCACAAAAAAATACAAAAATTAGCTGGGTGTGGTGGTGCATACCTGTAGTCCCAGCTAATTGTGGGGCTGAGGTGGGAGGATCGCTTGAGCCTGGGAGGTCTAGGCTGCAGTGAGCCAAGATCATGCCACAGCACTCCAGCCTGGGTGACAGAGAGACCCTATCTCTTAAAAAAAAAAAAAAAAAAGAAAGAAAGAAAAAAAAAAAAAAAAGGAGCTGAAACAATGAAAAAAAATTTTTTAAATTCCCCTATAACAAGAAGTCCAGAGATGGGTGGCCCTAGGGCTGGTGAAGTCAACAGCTAAAAGACATTAGGGCTTTTGTTCAACAACTCAGTAATTCTCTCAGGCATTTTTGCATGTCACAAGACAGCTGCTGCAGCTCCAAACATCACATTGTATGACAATGTCTAAAGGCAGGAAGGAAGGGGCATTTCCTTTCCTAGAGTTTTTTTTATAAGGATGAAAATCTGTTCCAGAAGATTTTGCCTTGAGTCCCATTGGCTAAAACTGGGTTCCATGCATGTGCGCTAGCTGCAAGGGATGCTGGGAATCCCAGTATCTAGCACTTCCTCCTGGACTGTGGGAAGCTGACTCTGCCAGGGTGAAAATGGCTGTTCATAAACAGCTTGCCCATGTACAGTGGGGAATGAAGAGTCCTGTACTCTCCTCCTCAATGCCTGTGTCTCTCCCACCACTGCAGGTCAGAGGACTCCCAGCTCCCAACACCACAGTTAGCCAGCCCAGAGCCAGGAGACAAGAGTAATGAACCTGAAGATGCTGGGACCAGAGACCCAGACCCCACTCCAGAGGGAGCCTGGCAGTCAGACAGCAGCTCCGGAAGCAGAGCCCTGGATGAAGGTTTGTCCCTGTGTGCCCAGTCTTCCTGCCAGGCTCACAGTCCCTCTGGCTATGTTCAGCCCTGTTCTCAGGGTCCTGTCTGCATCCATGCTACCCGTGCGCCCAGTCTTCCTGCCAGATTCATAGTCCCTCAGGCTGTGTCAGCCCTGCTCTCAGGGGTCTGTCTGCGTCCATGCTACCACCAGCCTCCAAACAGAGCCCACTCCCACCAGCTGCTCAGGCTGGGCTGGGGCCCTTTTCCCCAGCCCCATCATCCTAAGAACCTAGGCCTGGAGAATCTGGGGGGTTTAGAGCCATCAGGAGGTCAGGATACCTCGAGACGTTCCCAAACTTGCCAGGTGGCCAGGGTCACCTTTAAAAGCATGGATGCAGGCTGGATGTGGTAACTCACACCTGTGATCCCAGCACTTTGGGAGGCTGAGGCGGGTAGATCACTTGAGTTCAGGGGTTTGAGACCAGCCTGGCAACATGGCAAAAGCTGGTCTCTACCCAAAATACAAACAGATTAGCCCAGTGTGGTGGCACGTGCCTATAGTCCCAGCTGCTTGTGGGGGCTGAAGCAGGAGGATCACTTGAGTCTGGGAGGTCGAGGCTGCAGTAAGCCGAGATTGTGCCACTGCATTCCAGCCTAGGTGACAGAGTGGGGCCCTGCCCCACCCCCCCAAAAAAAAAAGAAAAAGAAAAAAGAAAAACATGGATGCCCAGGCCCACCCCGGATCTCTGCATGTGATTCTCTGGGGCAGTAGGGGTGGGGTCATAAGCCTGGTTTTGTTTTTAAACAGCTGTATCGGTTAGGACATCGTTTGTCTCCCAATGTCAGATCATTCAGCCCAAACCGGCTTAAGTTAAAAGAGAATGTATTGGTTCACGTAGCTTCAAAGTCCACGCAAGCTTCAGGCACAGCTGAAATGTCAGCAGCGCCGCTGTCTCGATGCCTGGCCCTGCGTTGTTCTACAGCGATTCATTTCACAGGACGCACTCCCCCCATAGTGGCAAGATGGTCACCAGTGGCTCCAGGCCTGGTCCTCTCAACTCCCAGGCCAGAAGCATGGAGGGCATTTCTCTTCCCTGCAAGTTTTGAGTCCAAGTCTTGGGCTAACTCCAGTGGCTCCCACAGGGTCCCTTGCCCTTCCTGAACTAGTTGCAGAGGAGGCTGCACCCAGCCTGGCTGGGCCTGACTCAAGTGCCCCTGGAGCTGGGTGGAGAGGAAGAGGAGGGAGTGGGACTCCCCTGGGGACAGGGATGGGGACTGAGGTTGGGCAGCAGAACACCAGGGGGCCACACAGACCCCCGGGCTTCCTGATGCTGATGCAAGCGGGAGCCCACCGTCAAGGCCAAGCAACACTGGGGACCACAGACAGTCACATGCGCCACACCCCCTTCCTCCACATTACTCCAAACATTAGATGCCTGCAGTTCCCTGAGCATTGAAAATCTGTCCATCCTGGTGCCCGTACCTTGAGGAACCCACCCCAGCTCCTAAGAGACTGTCTTGGCCTTTCCTGACTGGGGTTGCCACGGCCTAAAACGGAAATAACACTTATCTCTGAGACCACAGGCAGGGCCTGGCTTGTGTCATCTTAGAAAACAGGGAAGAAGTCAGGCACAGTGGTTCATGCCTGTAATCCCAACATTTTGGGAGGCTGAGACAGGAGGATCACTTGAGCCCAGGAGTTTGAGGCTGCAGTGAGCTATCATCACACCACTGCACTCCAGCCTGGGTGACAGAGCAAGACTCTGTCTCTTTAAAAAAAAAAAAAAAAGAAAGAAAGAGAAGAAAAAGAGAGCATTTCTCCCCATGTCCCTGTGTAAAGTCCCAGGAAGGGGCTCTGACTGGCCAGCTTCACTCTTGGGCTGGTCACATTACAGGGAGGCAGAACCAGCCTTGGTGGCCTTACCACACAGGAGCCTGGGACGTGGGGGGTGGCTATCTCAAGAGGGGACATGGCACAAGAGCCCTCCCCTCGGGCTGCCACCTGGGGAGGGATGCCTGGTTCCCCACCCTTTGTGCTGCGTCCCCACATCCTGTGCTTCCCCAGCAGTGGACGAGCAGCTGTTCCGATCCGTGGAGGGCCAGGCCGCCTCGGATGAGGAGGAGGAGGAGGAGAAGTGGCGGGAGGAGCAGAAGACGCCGGCAGCCGAGGCCAAGACACTGCTGGCCCGGCTCTCCAGCTGTGGAGGCAGGTGTGTGGCCCGTCTAGGGTCAGCCACTGTGGGCCTCAGGCTCTCACACTCAGAGGTGTCCAGGGAAGCCAGGAGCACCCGGGAGGCTGGTTAGCCTGGCTCGGCCACCTCCCAGCCCCTCTGCGGCTCTGTCCCCTTGTCCCTCAGGGGGAGGTGGGAAGGCCCACCAGTATGTAGAGGATGAAGTGGGATGACCTTCCAGGGTACAGCTCATGGCTGACTTGAATTCCCATTCGTGCCTTCTCACCAGCACCTGCACCAGAGCTCTTGTGGCACTCCCAGACACCAGTGTCCCTCTCAGACCCCTTCCCAACCCATCACCCCTTGCCACACACCATTTTCACAGCTCTTCAGCCTGGCCCCAGGCCGGTGCTGGCTCCCTGTTTCATCCTCACCTCCACCCTCATGGGGACCGAGGACAGGCCCAGTTCACCTGGGACACCTCGGACAAATCACCTGGCTTCTCCGAACCTCAGTCTTCTCATCTCTAAGATGGGATGGTGACACTTGTGTGGCAGAGGCTGTGTGAGGATTTGAGGTCAAAGATATACAATGCCTAACAGGTGCCTGGTGCACAGGAGGTGGGAACGCTGGTGGGGGCAACAGTTATTACTGTATGGTAAAATGCTGTTGATTTTCTGGAGTTGTTGTTACCACCAATTCTTCATGTCAACAGCAAGCACTTATGAAGCACCTACTACTTGCCAGGCAAAATCTGAGAGACAGGGAAAATTGCAGTAAACCAGACAGTGGCCTCCTCTTTTGGATCCTCTAGTGAGTGTGACAGGCGTGAGGAAGAGGGGTCACACAGAGGCAGGGACAGAGGCAGGGCAGGGAGATGCAGGGAATGCCTCTCTGAGCAGAGCCCTGAAGGAAACGAGGGAATAAGCAATGCAGATGCTGGGGGAAGAGCATTCCAGGAAGAGGGAAGAGCAAGTGCAGAGGCGCTGAGGCATGTTGGAGGGACCGCCAGGAGGCCACTGTGGCTGGAGCAGCATGAGTGTGGGTGGGTGGGAGGGAAGGTCAGAGAGCTCATGGAGCAGATCAGATGAAGCCTTTGGCTTTTCCTCAGAGTGAGATGGAGGCTGTGGGAGGGTGCTGGGCAGGCAGGTGCCATGGCCTGGCTTTGCTTTAGGAGGTCAACTCCACACCAGCACCACCTCTCCGAGGCTGGACAGAGTGGGCTCTGGAAAGCAGCCCCCTGCAATGCGGGCCCTCTCCTTTGTTGCAGGTGTGATGACCAGACGGCGAAGAAGCTCATGACTTACTTTGGTCACTTCGGCGGTGCCGACCATGCCTGCACCCTGGGGGAGTTAGAGGCCTGCGTTGCCATGCTGGTGGAGCAGCTGAGGACTCAGGGCTGCGGTGGGAGGACCCTGGGGACCTCTGGGGAGGAGGTCAGCAGGTCCTAGAGATCAAAGGCTGGAGCAATTCTAGAGGATCTCACAGCTGGAAGGGTCTGAGGGATTGCAGCCAAGTCTCGTGCCCCATTCCCAAATGAGTAAACCAAGGCCCAGAGGGAGGTGATTTCCTCTGATTTAAATTTAATAAGAAATCTTTTGGTTGCAAATTAAAGGATCCCACCTCAAATTAGCTTGATTGCAAAACAGGAATTTATTGGAACATGCAGCTGAAAAGAAGATGATCTGGACTTCAGGCACAGCTGGGTCCAGGGACTCAGACCAGATTGTCTCCATCTGTCTGCTGTGTTTTTCTGTAGGAGGTGGTCTCACTTTCCCCTGCTTCAAAAGGGCTTACTTCATATGATGGGGGAAGGGAAGGCAGGACCATTAACAGCCCTAGACTTCCATCAGCCCACCTGAGAAGCCCTCAGAGGAAAATGAGTCTCACTCCTAATACACGAAATCTCAGGGAGGAACTCCGATTGGTCACCTCACTCATGTGCCCGTCCCTGGGCCAATCCCTGTGGTGGTGGGGCGGGTTCAGTGACTGGCATTGCCACCAAAGTCAGATGAAGTGGAGGAGGGGCAGTTTCTCAAAAGAAAGGGAGTATGGTAGCAAGAAGATGGGGGGGGAGGCCGGGCATCCAGCTGTCTCCATTTCAATAAGACCACTTCGCATTTCTCATTCTCTCTACTCTGTAGGAACTACTCTATTCCACAGTAGCCAAGTGTGCAATGCTGCTGAAAGCTGTCATTTCACTAAGCCATTGCCCACTGTGCTTTTACGTACTGGTTTTGACATAGTTTTATATTTATACGTATGAAATTCTAAGTCTGTACTGCTTTTTGCTTATGCATGGCCTGATGAAGTCCTAGTTCCTTAAATAACTTTTTAAAAATGATAACAGCTGACTTGTACGACCCATGAACCATACGCTCGGTGCTGATGTGCTTTGTCTGACTTTATGTTCAAGGAGCCCAGTGAGGTAGGAAACGGGTTGAGAGAGGTCAGATGGGCTGGGCTGGGAGCCCATGCCTCATCCACGCCAGTGTGCCCCCCTTGAACCAAGGCAGCCACACCGCCCGCCCTGAGGCCAGGGGTTGAGTCACTGGGGGCAGGAGGGAGCAGAGGGGCCTGTTTGGGCTCCAGCCTCTTAGTGCGTGAAATCAGAGACCAAGACAGAAGGTAGCAGGCCCTGGAGTGCTGCAGTAGATTGGACAAAGACCAGGACTATGCAAATATTCTGCTAAAATGTGCAAAAGGAAACAAAGTTGAATGTCATTACAGGGCAAGCTGGTGTGGCTGCAGCTAAACCTTCCAGTGCGATCGGGTCTGCACCACCTCCAGCTTGTGGAATCCCTGCACCGGGATAGGGGCATCCCTCACTTACTCCCCAGAGAAGGCTGCTAACACCAAGTAGCACGGCATGGCGGTTATGTGCTGGAGCCAGGCTGCCGGGATTCAAATCCTGACTCCATTTCCTATGTGACCTTGGAAAAGTTACTCAACTTTTCTGTGCCTCGGTTTCCTCACCTGTGAAATGGGCATAATAATGGTACTATACTGCATGTATCAAACAGGTGAACACTTGTGGTGAGTGCTCAGCAAACATGCGCCACAGCTGTCCCTGTTTCTAGCACTCTTTTGTGTTGTGCAGGTCTCCTAAGTTGAAAGTTGTTTCTACATTTTCTCCACCACCGTTCTGGTTTCCTGGAGGCCTTGATCTTGCCTGCCCAGGCACCCCTCAGGAAAGTCATAGCCCTTGTGGCTGGGGAGGGTGCAGTACTGTGGGCCATCAGGAAATAAACTGGCAGTCACAAAGTTCTGAAGGGCATAGCCACTCCTTTTCTAAGAACATTTCAAGGAAACAGGGCTTGGAGGATCCTAAAATTAGCCGGCCTTCCAGTCTCATCCCTAGAGAGCAGAGGCACTGGGGCTTCCCTCCTCCTGCCCAAGCCCAGAGTGGACCCTGAGCGCCCTTGGGCACCACACTTTCCACTGCTTCTCTTTCCCTCCATTGGTGCCGGGGAAGGGACTGCCTCGTGCCTGGCATGCCTGCTTTAGAAGGCAGGGGTCACAAAGCACTTTGTGACTGCCTGGCATCCTAGTGTTACTGGGTACGACTGATGGTTTCGGTGGCTCCCTGGCCAAGAGTGGGCCCATAACTCAGACTGGGCCAACCAGGCCCCTCTCCTGGGACTCTCCATGCTGTGGGATGGGGATGGCTGGAGAGGGTCCTTCTCAGCTGTGGCTCTTGGATAAGAGGCTTGGGACACTCCCACTGTCTCAACCCTGTCCCATTCCTGAGGTTCTCCATCTGCCAGTCCATTCTGGGATCTGCCCACTAGCCTGCTGTAAATTTCCTCTCTGTGTAAGCTAGCCAGATTGGTTTCTGCTGCTTCCCACCACACTTAATTTGTTAAAAAAAATAAAATAAAATACAACAAAACCAGAGAAGAGAAGGGAGAATGGAGTCCTTAGAGTAGGAAACAAAATACACAATTTTTACATCAGTCCAACCCACTGTGTGGCTCTAGGCCACACACTCAGCTTCTCTGGGCCTCAGCACCAGCCTCGGGGAGATGGAGTAGTTGATCCGGTCACCTGGAAGGCTGGGGGAGGCCAGCAAGGTAAGCACTGAGCCCCCTTCTCTCCCCAGGCAGAGTTGCAGCAGAAGGTGGAAGAGAATGAGCACCTGAGGCTGGAGCTGCAGATGGTGGAGACTGAGAGGGTGCGGCTGTCCCTGCTGGAGGAGAAGCTGGTGGACGTGCTGCAGCTCCTGCAGAGGCTCCGGGACCTGGTAGGCTCACGGGAGCTGCCACACTCAGGGAAGGGAAAGGAGCTCTTGGAGGGAGCCCCACCTGTGTCAGGCACCAGGCTCTAGGCTCTCCTCACAGTAGGCAGCTGTTACCCCATTTTACAGATGCAGAAATGGAGGCTCAGAGGAACCAACCAAAAATAGGGTTGGGGGTCTCCCCAGGTCATTTTAAGAAGCTAATAAAACTCTTGTATGTATCATTTTCTGGTTCTGTTCTCAAAACCACAAGAGGATAAATAGAAGAAAGACAAGAAAGGAAAATTATAAACTAACGTGACATTTAAACATGGACGCAAAATTATTAAACACAATACTAGCAAACCAAATCTGGCAGTGTTTAAAGAAATGCAACATGACCAAGTTGGACTTATCCTAGAAATTCAAGGATGATTCCACATCAAAAAATCTATTACCAAAATATACCACATTGCAGATTAAAGGAGAAAGACCAGATGATCATCTCAACTGATGCAGAAAAGGAAGTCAATAAAATTCAATCTCCTTTGATTATAAAACTCCTCAGCAAATTAAGAATAGTGGAGCTCTTCCTTCACCAGATAAGGGCTCTCAACCAAATACTTCGTGCAGATCTCACACTGACTGGTGACGTGTTCAGAGGAATCCCCCTAAAATCAGATGTGGCTGGGCGTGGTGGCGCATGCCTGTAATCCCAGCACTTTGGGAGGCCAAGGTGGGTGGATGGCTTGAGCTCAGGAGTTTGAGGCCAGCCTGGCAAATATGGTGAAACCCCCATCTCCCATCTCTACAAAAAAAAAAAAATTTGCTGGGCATGGTGGTGTGTGCCTGTGGTCCCAGCTACTTGGGAGGCTGAGGTGGGAGGATTGCTGAAGTCCAGGAGGCAAAAGTTGAAGTGAGCTGAGATTGTGCTGCTGCACTCCAGCTTGGGTGACAGAGTAAGACCTTACCTCAAAAAAATAATTAAATTAAATTAAAATTAAAATCAGACTCAAGACAAGAATGCCTGTCATCACTGTTTTTATGCGAAGCAGAGGTTCCATCCAATGCAGTAAAATGAAAGGGAAAGGCTATAAGGATTAGAAAGAAAGGAAGACCCAGGTCTGTGGGGCTCTGAAGTGGGCTGTGCCCTGTGTGTCGGGCTGCCTGGGCCCCGGAGCTGCTGAGGTCCAGCCCAGTGTCCATATCCTGGGCAAGCAGAGACCTGGGGATGAGCCCTGAGAGGCCAATCCTAGCCCAGGCAGGCAAAGGCAGTGGTTCCCAGCAGAGGCCATGGGCCATGCAGCCTCAGGATAGATGATGCGGCCCCTCCACCTCCCTGCTGGGTGCCTTTGGCAAATTTCACATTCTTTCCCAGCATTGCTTTTTTCTGCTGGTTAAAATGGGCATAATAAAATATGTTGTTGCAAAGATCAAATGAGCAAATGCATAAAAATGCTCTTAGGGTTATTTCCCAGTGTCTACCTGGGCACAGATGGTAATCCTTAGGTACGTGATCTTTGATGGCATGCATCCTGCCCACTGCCCCACTCACCCTCCAAGAGTCTCTGGGAAGCACAGGGTGGGCAGCCTAGGGGTAGGGGGCCAGAAGGGATGAGGGTTGGGGAGGGGCTTGATCTGTCCCCAGGGAGCTGCCCAGAGCCCCTAGGAGACACCAGTTCCCATCGACTGAACAGGGACACAGCCACCAGTCTGATCCAGCCCTGTCTCCATTTCTTTTTAAGAACATATCGAAAAGAGCCCTGGGGAAGATTTTGCTGAGCACGCTGGACGCTTTCAGGGACCCCACCCACGGTAGGAGAGCACCCCAGTCTCTCAGAGCCCAGGCAGTGGCTGGAGGGTGTCCTGAGGAGGAGACTCCAGCGTGCTTCATCCTTAGCATCTTGTCTACAAAACAATCATGTTATTCCTGTCCTACATGCTTTAGAAAGTTGAAGGGGCTTTTAGCAAGAGCAGAGGCACAGAAGCCCCAGGCAGAAATGCCAGACGGAAGCCCAGTGAGGGGATGGGTGGACGCCACCGGCAGCACTGCAGCCACATGCGGAGGAGGTGCCCCAAGAGTTTTTAAACCTCTGAATCTTTATGAGGGCCCTAGAAGGAACGAGTTGTTATCCCCTTCCTACAGAGGAAGACTGAGGCACAGGGGTCAAGTGCTGGCCACGCCCAAGGCTGGGACATCTCCCTTAAGCACTCAGTAACGCGGACCTGGTGTTTACACAAAGCTCAGGGAGCAGAACGGCAGGAGTGCCAGCCTATGCCTGGTGCAGCCAGGCCGAGCTCCCAACTCACGGGGCTTCACAGGCTGACAGGGCAGCCAAAAGCCCTTTGCTCGCTGACCTCCCTGGGCACCAATGGGCAGAGCTTAGGTGCACCCACTACCCTGAGCAGTCCTTGCCCTCGTGGAGGAGATCAGAAATTGTGTGCTCCAAGCCCCCTCTCCAGGGTCCTTGGGGGGAGGTGGTCCGCAGAGCGGGGAAGCTGGGCAGGGCTGGGGAGGGGCACGGGGGTAAGGGTGGCTGGGTCTCAGGAAGGAGGGACAGTGGCTCTGTGGGTGAAGGCAAGCAGACTGATCCTGCCCTCCCTGCCTGCTGTTTCCCTCCAGTGGGGAGGCCCAGCCCCGCAGCCATCCTGGATGCCCTGCACCAAGCCTTGGCTGCCTGCCAGCTGTTGAGGAGACAGCCCTCCGCACCAGCCTCTGCAGCAGCTGCGCTCACCAACCCCCTCCTCGTCTCCTGCTGAGGTTACTGGCCCAGCCTGTGGGCACCCTGCTCAGCCTGACTGCCTTTGGACCAGCCTCCATGATCAGCCCAACCACTGACAGCTGGTCTGACCACCGTCACATCATCAGAACTTGAGTCTCTGCTGGCTGCTTCCAAGGTTGAGCCCAAGCCCAGAGCCTCCCACTGCAGCGCCTGGAAGCCACCCCTTCCTTGGGCTCCTCCACATTCCCTCGCAGCCCCTGCATTCCTGCCACCAGAGTCCACATTAAAGCCCTGCAGTTGCTGGATCAGCCTGCACCTGATGCTGTATCTTTCCCCTGCCCTCAGGGCAGAGGTGCCCACTTTCTAACTGAGTCTGACCCCGAATCTCTTCCCCAGGGTTTCAGGATCTCCTCCCCTCCCAGCACTGTCTCCTTCCTCCCACCCGCATGCCTCCTGCAAGGGAGACTGGGCCCAACCTTTGGGATACCTGTTCTGTAGGAAAGCACTCCACACCCCAGGAAATGTTGATGACTAGGAAAGGCTGCGGGAATTCCAAGGAAGGAATAATCACTGTAGGCTCCCTGGTGGAAGCTGGCCTTGAACCAGCTCTAGAAGACAGGTAGGATTTAGGCAAAAGAGGAGGGAAGGGCATAGAATCTAAGGTAACGGCAAGAGCAAAGGTGTGGAACCAGCAGGGAGCCTCAGGAATGCAGTGCTTGGAGCCCTTGCTCCTGAACACACACTAACTCCTGAACTGTGAGCCCCTGCTCCCGAACTGCGTCATGGGGTTGCAGGAAGGAGTGGCCAAGATGCCCGGTATCACCTAGCTTAAACTGTCATGAGAGAGAAAGAGCCATTGCCAAACAGTGCTAAATGGAGGTAAAATTAAGTGTTGTAAGAGCCCAACCAGCAGGGGTCTGTCCGAGCCTCGGGATGCCTGGCGAAACTGCAGGAGTCAGGGGAGCCCTGTCTGCTCTGAACCATGGTGGGGAGGGGCAGGGGCAGGGGCAGAGGAGGAGGTGGAGGGAGGGCTGCAAAGATGATGGGTTTCACCCTGGCCTTCATTCAGGGAACCACTGCAAACGCCTAAGCAAGGAAACACAGGCCCAGAAACTTTCAGATGGTTCCTCCGGAAATGGAATAAAAGAGACCAAGGCCAGTGGCCACCACAGAAGGGCCACCCCCACCCCTGGTCCAATTAGATGGGACAGGCCCCTGGATCCCTGGGGCCATGTACAGAGGTGGCCCCAGGAAGGTGGTCTGAGCAGGCAGCGATGTGCCCAACTTGCTCCTCGCATCTCCACGGAGCCCACTGGCCCTGTACCTCAGGCTCTGCACTGCCTGCGGGACTCAGGCCAGGCAGGCTCCCATGTGTCCCAGCTCGGTCGCAGGGCCAGCTGCTCTGTGTCCTGATCATGGTGGTGGCTACATGAACCTACACATGGGTTAAAACTCACTGTGGACGGATATGAGAGTTCAAAGCTGCATGGGGCCCTCGTCACAGGGCACCTTATCACAGGGGGACCCCCACACTTTTGCGAATTTTACCTCCAGGAGCTTTACTATGTTTGCACAGTGAAAATAGAAGAAAAAGTCCCCTCGTGCTGCCAGCAGGAACAGGATAAAGTAACCATTTTAAAATATGCCAGGACATTCTGTGCTTTTCAACAAGGCCTTCCATCAAAAGAAACTATTTCACCAGGGCCTAGCCCACTAGCATTTGATTAGAACCTAATCAAACTGGGGGAAGAGAAATACCCACCTCCAGTCCCTTCAGCCATCCTGTCCCACCTAAGAGAAAGAAAACCTAAGATGTTCACAGCCCAGGCTGTGAACTCACTAAAGACTGAGATCTAATCATAGGACTATAGAACACATCCCTTCCCACCACACCTTCCCAGCACATCACTAAAGGCCTCTTTACCTCTGGGTAAAAGGTAAAAGTTCCTTTTACCCAGTGCAGCATGCCTGCCTTTTAGCAAAAAATGCAAGGCAGATTAAAAGGCAAAAAGCACAGTTTGAAGAAACAGAGCAAGCATCAGATTCAGACCCACCTATATGGCAGGGATGTTGGAATCATCAGGCTATAAATTTAAAACAACTGTGATTAATATGCAAGGGCTCTCTTGGAAAAAGTCGACAAATGTAAGAAAGATGGGTGATGTAATTAGAGAGGTGGAAATTCTAAGAGAATCAAAAAGAAATGCTAGAGATAAAAAACACTGTAACAGAAATGAAGAATGCCTCTGATGGGCTCATTAGCAAACAGGGCACAGCTGAGGAAGGAATCGCTGAGCTTAAGAATATGTCACTAGAAACTTCCAAAACTAAGAAGCAAAGAGGAAAAAAGACTGAGGAGTGTGGGGGAAAGAGCAGAATATCCAAGAAATGTGGGACATCTACAAAACCTATAACATGCATAATGAGAGTACCAGAAAGGGAAGAAAAAGACAAAGGAACACAAACCACATTTAAAGTAATAATGACTTAGAATTTCCTCGAATTAATGTCAGACACAGCTCCAGGAAGCTCATAGAACACAAGTAGGTTACATGCAAAAAAGAAAAGAAAAGAAAAAACTACGCCTAGGCATCATACATTCTAACTTCAGAAAATCAATGATAAAGAACACACCTTGAAAGAAACCAGAGAGAAAAATAACACCTTACCTATAGAGGAACAAAGGTGAGACTTAACATCAGCCTTTTCAGAAGTCATGCAAACAAATAGAGAGTGGAATGAAATAGTTAAAGTGTAGAGAGGGAAAAAAAATACACCGAGAATTTTGTATCCTGTGAAACTATACTTCGAAAGTGAGGGAGAAATAAAGACTTTCATCAGACAAACAGAAATTTAGAGAATTTGTTGCCAGTACACCTGGCTTGCAAGAAATGTTAAAAGAAGTCCTTTGGAGAGAAGGAAAATTACACAGGTCCAAAATTTGGATTTACATAAAGGAAGAGCTTTAGAGAAGGAATAAACAAAGGTAAAATAAAAACTTTTACTTATTATTTGATCTAAAAGACAACAGTTTGTTCAAAATAGTGTAGGCAATTATTATAGTTGACATACAAGTGAAAGCGATGACAGCAATGATGCAAGGGACAGGAGAGAAGAATTAGGAATATTTTGTCATTGTAAGGTATTCGTACTACACATAAGCAATACAATATTATTTGAAAGTGGACTGGCCGGGCATGGTGGCTCACGCCTGTACTCCCAGCACTTTGGGAGGCCAAGACGGGCAGATTGCTTGAGGCCAGGAGTTTGAGACCAGCCTGGACAACATGGCAAAACCCTGTCTCTACTAAAAATACAAAAATTAAGCAGGCATGGTGTTGTGCGCCTGTAGTCCCAGCTACTTGGGGGGCTGACGTGGGAGGATCGCTTGAACCTGGGAGGCAGAGGTTGCAGTAAGCCAAGATGGTGCCACTGCATTCCAAGCTGGGCGACAGAGTGAAACTTTGTCTAAAACAAAAAAGAACAAAAAAGAAAGCTGAAGTAGCTGTAATAATTTCAGACAAAGCAGACCAATCTAATGATAAACAAGTCAATTCTCCAAAAAGATGTAATAATCCCTAATGTGTATACACCTAATAAGAGTGTGGCAAATATGTGACGCAAAAACTGATAGAACTATAAAAAAAATGAATTCACTATTTTTGATGGAAACTTTAACGACCTCTATCAGAAATGGACAGATCCAGATCCGGCAGGCAGAAAATCAGTAAGGACATAGTTGAACTTAATAATAGCACCATCAGTCAGCTGGATCTAAATGACATGGATAGAACACCCAAGAACAGCAGAATACACATTCTCCTTAAGCTCGCACAGAGCCTTCACCAAGATAAACCACATTCTGGGCTATAAAACACGCTTTAACAAATGTAAAAGAATACAAATCATACGATGGTCTCAGATGACAATGGAATGAAACTGGATATCAATAATAGAAAGATAGCTAGAAAATCCCCAAATTCTTGGAGGTTAAACAACACACTTCCAAATAACAAATGGGTCAAAGAGGGAATCTTAAGAGAAATTTTAAAATACTGTGAACTAGGCTGGTTGCGGTGGCTCATGCCTATAGGCCCAGCACTGTGGGAAGTGAAGGTGGAGGGATCAGGAGTTCCAGACCAGCCTGGCCAACGTGGTGAAGCCTAGTGTCTACTAAAAATACAAAAATCAGCCAAGTGCAGTGGCGCATGCTTACAATCCCAACTACTGGGGAGGCAGAGGCACAAGAATCACTTGAACCCCAGAGGTGGAGATTGCAGTACAGAGAGATCACACCACTGCACTCCAGCCTGGGCCACAGAGTGACAGCTTGTACCCCCGCCACAAAAAATACTGTGAACAAAATAAAAATAAAAATACAGTGAATCAAAATTTGTGGAATACAGCAAAATGCAGCAAATACCTTACAATGACAAAATATTCCTAATTCTTCTCTCTCTCCTGTCCCTTATGTCATTGCTGTCATCCCTTTCACTTGTATGTCAACTATAATAATTGCCTACACTATTTTGAACAAACTGTTGTCTTTTAGATCAAATAATAAGTAAAAGTTTTTACTTATTATAGTAAAAGTTTTTACTGCTTAGAGGAAAATTTATAGCACTGAATGCATATATTAGAAAAGAAAAAATATCTAAAATTAATCATCTAAGCTTCCACCTCATTAAACTATAAAAAGAAGGGCAAATTAACTGCAAAGTAAGCAGAAGAAAAGAAATAATAAAAATTAGAGCAGAAATCAATGAAATTAAGAAACAAAAATCAGAGAGAAAATCAGCAAAACTAAAAGCCAGTTCTTGGAAAATATCAGGAAAATTGATAAGCCTCTGGCCAACCTAATTAAAGAAAAAAAAAAAAAGAAGATACAAATCACTAATACCAGAAATGAAAGAGGAACATCACTACAGAGCCCATAGACATCAAAAGGATATTAAAGGAATACCATGAGGCATCTATGCCCACAAATTTGGTAATCTATGTTTAATAGATCAATTTTCTGAAAGACACAGACTGCCAAAACTCATATAAGAAGAAACAGGCCAGGCACGGTGCTCACACCTGTAATCCCAGCACTTTGGGAGGCTGAGGCGGGCAGATCATGAGGTCAGGAGATAGAGACCATCCTGGCTAACAAGGTTAAACCCCATCTCTACTAAAAAAACACAAAAAAATTAGCTGAGCATAGTGGTGTATGCCTGATCATGAGGTCAGGAGATTGAGACCATCCTGGCTAATGTGTCTACTAAAAATACAAAAAAAAAAAAAAAAAATTAGCTGGGCATGGTGGCAGACACCTGTAGTCCCAGCTACTCAGGAGGCTGAGGCAGGAGAATGGCATGAACCCAGGAGGCAGAGGTTGCAGTGAGCCAAGATCGCACCACTGCACTCCAGCCTGGGCAACAGAGCGAGACTCTATCTTAAAAAAAAAAAAAAAAAAAAAAGGGATTGGCTTTTGTGTATTAACCCTGTATCCTACAACTTTGGTATAGTTGCTTATTAGTTTCAGTAGTATGTTGTTGATTCTTTTGGATTTTCTACAACTTTGCTGATAATATGGTCATCTATGTAGAAAATCTTTATACCTTTTATTTCCTTTTCTTATCTTATTGCACTAGCTAGGACTTCCAGTATGGTGTTGAAAAAGAACTGGTGAGAGAGGACATCTTTACCTTGTCCCTGATCTTACTGAGAAAGCATCTAGTTTCTCACTATTCCATGTATTGTTAGCTGTGGGTTTTTTTTGTAGATGTTCTTTATGAAGTTGAGGAAGTTCCTCTCTTTTCCTAGTTCGTTGGAAGTTTTTACCTTGAATGGATGTTGGATTTTGTCACATGCTTTTTCTGCATCTATTGACATGATCATGTGATTTTTCTTCTTTAGCCTGT